CAATGGACAGTTCAATGGATATATATGTACGGAACGACTCGAGTTCCTTCGGTTATTGCGATTTCCCGCAGAAGAGTTGCACAATTGGTTTACTGAGAAATGAGTTCGGTTGAATCTGTCTGACGGTGAACGGCCGGATGCATTTTGGTAGAAGGAAACCAAATTTCTGATCACAAAAATTGAATTTAGTTTATGAAAACTAGAAATATTGTTTCTTTCAACCAAAATGCGCCCGGTTGTTCATCGTCAGGTAGATCCTACCAAACTCATTTTTCACAGTTGGAAGTAGTAGTTAATCATCAAACACGCGAGCCAAACACAGCTTCAAAGTGTAGTACCGTTTTAATTGTTTCCAGTTCTACCGCGATGATTTCGCATATATTATTAGATTATTCTGCGTTTCAAAGTTATTTCCTGTCAAATATTTTTCATTAAATTTATTTCCTTCTCCAATTTTAAGCACATGCTTTTATCCGGAGATATCCTCTCGCAATTTCCTCAAGGACCAAAGTCGCTCGATTGTCAATCTACCTACAATCGGCGAGAGTACAGAGGTTTCCTCGAGGTTGATTTCTCAATTTTTCATCCTATCTGTGCCACGAGCGCCAAGCGAGAACATTGACGAAACGATAGAATTGTCTTTCGAGGGGGCACACTTTCGTTCAATGGCGTAAGATTTTCACTGCACGTTTCCGCTCTGATTCAGTGCGTATCCCGATTTTTCGTATCGCTCTCGACAACATCGAGCGGCGATGTTATTCACTGAAACTCAAATCGGCCTCGATCCGGTTCCCCGATTAAAGTTCGCGATCTCGATTCTTTTTATCCGCAATATAGAATACGAAGGACAGAGCGGGATCACGATTCATTCTGTTTACATAATATTACGAATTCTGTTGAAATAAAAAAATAATTTAAATAGATAATTTCTCGCGCGACGTAAGAAAGAAAAAAAGAAACAAACGTAATACCCTATAATCAGCTCTATCAATGTATATTATCGCAAAGCCGAGGCTTGTGTATAAATCAGCGCACAACTCTGACGTCATCTCCGGCGGGACTTTTTCGTCGCGTTTCTTTCGCAACACGCCGATTAATCTCGCTTCTCTAAATTGGAGCAGCCGCTGCACCGATGAATGATTGTTTGATATCTCCTTAACGTACGCCTTCTCTCCTCCTTTCGCTCTTTCTTTCTTTTTATCCCTTCCTCCCTTTGCTACTCTTCTTCGTCATGTGGATTTCGATCGATAGCCGTGTATAATGTATTAGCGCATGACAGGGTGATATCGACGATGTGGACAATTAAGCATGATCGATGATTCAAGCGACCGAACGACCAAGTGGATCCAGAAGTGCTTAACTGCTCGGCGAAACGACGACGTGTTGTTTCGAGGCTGCTCGGCAGACTACTTCGTTCGCCTCGAATTGAATCCGAGAAATGCAACGACGAGTGTCGTCGTCGTCGTTATCTTTTCGTATGCGCGCAATCCGGTCTGCTTCTGCCGCAAAATAAACGATCTGTATTAATTTAATAAATTCTCACTTCACATATCCTGTTGCTCACTCACGTATGTTGAAAATATAATTACATCGAGGTAAATAAATATTCTTTTCGACCAGGACGTTGTGCAGCAGGCAATGCGCGTAGAACTGGTTTTTTTTTAACAAACGCAAAATGCGGAAACGACAAATGTTAATTTTTTGCATTGTAATATTTCGACCTATAATCCATAGATTTTCCTACTTACATATGTTCCTCTTTACGTAAATATAAACATGACATAAACGTACTTATATTTACGTCTATGTTTACTATATATTTTTAATTATTTTTGCGCGATAAATTAAAGATTTGAATATGGTTAAGAATTTGAGAAAAATTTTCCAGATATAATTCAAATTTGGGACGGAAAAGTTTGATTTCTGCAAAAAAAAAAGTAATCATTTTCCTATATTTAGGAAAATAATTTTGGTTATGATCAGTCGCGAATCTGAATTCTTTCGCATGAATTTCTCACAAGTCTAACGAGGCGATGGTTTAATTAATATTTAATTTATCAAACGCGTCGGTGAAATCGAAAATGAACGCACAATCAAAACGCAACAGTAAACGAAAAGAACTATTCGAGTTTACGTTCATTCATGACTGCGGCCCCAACGACATGTATGTACACATACACACCGCGGAACAAAGCGGAATTATTTATAAAACACAGCTAGTCGATCTTGTCGTTCTCGTAAACGAAGTTATTTTCGAAAGCGAGCTTTCGAGGGTCCTGCGCATTGCGTGCCTCGACGAGTTCACGTTCCCTCATGAAATTCTCCCAAGGTATTTGGAACTCTCTCGTTTCGCGTCGTGTCGCTGTTAGAAATTTATTTTCGCAATTCAGAGGCGTAAAAGTAAAAAAGAAAAGGAGATGTCAGCCGGCGACGCCCGGTGCGAACAGTTGCGAGTGTCGATCGCTACGCCGACGATAATGTAAGTTTCTCTTTCACACGGGCGTAAATTTTACGACCGCCAGAACGCCTTAGTGTCGGTTTCTCGCGCTGCTTCGAGGTTATCTTGTTTGGCTTTTGACAGCCACGTGTACACGTACGTACAAGAGCAATTTTAAATAATAAAGCATAGTTTATCGTTCGATGTCGATCATATGACTGCATTTTCGCATTCACCTGCGGGATGGGCACAAATTTATCGGAGCAATCGCTAAACGTACACGACGCGAACGACGTTATGAACAGCAACTTGAAAACAGATTTGTCGAAGCAAATCTTCCTAGAAAAAACGTCTAAAAAACGTCTTAGAGAAGTCTAACAGACGTCCTACTTTTTCTCGTCTGTCTTTTAAATGTTTCTACGATGTCGAGAATAAAAGTGTTTTGCTACTTGTAACAGTAATTGCATAGCATAATAATTATTTCGCCGTAAAAATCATTTTTGCGCTAAATTACTATTACAACGGTTATATGATATTAACCTTATATGCATATCGTGCTACTTTTACTTTCTTATTAAAATAACAAAAAAAATATAATTGACACCGAAAGTGATTATAATTTTAGTCAGACTGACTAGTTTTTCTTTCAATGCTGGGATCCCTTTCACAATGCGTCCCCCAAAATTCTTCGCGACTTTTGTATTTTTTACGGAAGGTTCGTTAGAAAAGAGTCCGTCGATGACGTGACGACGAATTTTCGTCCGTATAGATCGAAGGAAACGAGCGAAGCGGAAATGAGCATCGCCGATACCGCATGTGTCCCAAAAATTCAATGTTGCTCGCGAAAGGAAGTCACAGTATCGCAGAGTCAATTTAAACGCAGCCGTCAGGAAGTGCTGGACGCGAAGAGAGCGCGATTAAGACAGCTCTTCGAACACGATGCGATCGAGACGGAAAATTTGCTACGAGATCTGGGATACGCTTTCATCGCCACGCATCCTTGACTGTTTTCATCGCGGACTTCTTTGGGATTCCCCTTTACGACCTTGAATTTAACGGATCGATATTAAACGATCGCACTTTCACCGCTTTCGATTTCCCAACCGCATCATTCGCAAACCAGGAAGTTGCCGCTTGAACATTCACGCGACGAACTCCGAGCTATCTTGTCCGACGACCGAAAAATTAGACGGCCATAATTTTACGATTTTATTGACGATAAAATTTCCGTCTCTTTCTCTCTCTTTCAACCATGACATCGTATATCTGTTTTTTATTTATTTTTTTTTTTATATCAGGTTGCAATATATCAATAGATGCTACATAATTGCGGCACATCGTGCTAGCATCAAATGTGATAATTTATAATTGCACGACGTTATTTCTCGAGAACGATTTATTAGGTACATACATAATGTATACACATACACGTATGTTACCGTGTGGACATAAATAAAATATATATGTATATATAGATATATCTTACACGTTGACGACGAGTGAAAATAAAGTGATTATCCTTGCTCTGTTAAGACTTTGGTAAAATACTTCATGCCAAAATAGAGGAGGATGCTGGGAGGAGGAGGAGAAGGAGAAGGCGCGGGAGTAGTAGAGATGGTGGAAAGAAGAAGAGACGGCATAATATACACGAGAAAAGACGCGGCGCGAATTCTCTCGTAACGTACATTCATCGTATTCGGAACGAAAAAAAACTTCTTCCTATCCTCTCTCTCTCTCTCTGTCATTTCTTCTCTTTCGGTCTACGTTCTATCCTCTCTCGCAACTTAGTCTACCGCATTCGTAATGTGTACTTCTCCGCCAAATTGTCACGACAATCGCGTCGAAAGCACACCATCCGTCGCGCGTCGTGAATTAATAACGCTATGTACTTTCCTATTGGACGGCATATTACGGCACTGTGAGTGGTTTGCGGCTTTGCGAAACTACTTTTCCCTCTACGTCGGCGGACTCTCGCGAGGAGAGCGGATTTGTTTGTCGTTTTTGTTTCTCTTTGCCCGAAAATGCGCGGAACGCTTCATGGTCTTTCGTCCACAATTAGTTACTTTCGATACGTTCCCTTCAAAGAAGAAGCGCACGCTTCTCCGCTCGAGATTCGTCTTTGGGTGTATCGTATTTAGAATATATTCGGGACGTTCGGTGTGTGATTTCTCGAGGATACTTCGCGTATACATATGGAGTATGTACGCGCGTACATGCATGTCGTGTGACTCATTATGGCGCGGGCCAAAATCATTAGGAAATTCCCTCGCATACGCAACTCAATCACGCAATCGCGTGATCAAAAAATATTTTAGCACACGAAATATGTGTATGTGTTATGTAGTAACATATATATATATATATATATATATATATATAT